GGGGGAAGAAAGAAAAGAACCAAGGCTGAAGGCAGTTTCACATCATCCAACGACAGGAAACCAAACCCACAGACAAAAGAGTCCAAAAATAAAAACAGGGATCCAACATTTTAAAGAACACAGTCCTTTGTTTTCCTTTTCCTTTGTGTCTATAAATTCCAATCTGGTTAAATCATTAAAGATGGGCAGGAGGCACATTTCTTTGCTTTTCCACCTTTATGAAAGTGTTTTGTTAGTCTACATTGGCTGTTTGAACATGGATTACCAAGTCAAACCAGCACAATACACCAACAACAACATTAATCTCTTTAAAACGAAAGAATAGAAAATCCCCACATGAAGAACCAGTATTGGATGAAGTAGAAAAAAATAAAACAGCAAGCATAGTATTGTGTCTCTGAGGCCCATTGTGTCCGGAAGAGGGGATTTTCAGTGGAATACAGGAAAAACTACCTGGTGTGTCATAAAAACTAACGCTTAACATGAATAATACTCCATAAAACTGACACATATTCTATGAATGAATGTGTGTACAAACATTCAAAGGCCACTTAAAGCTACAGCAACAAACCATCTAACATGGCACCACACGCCTGCACATCGTTTAAATATAATTTACTCTGAATTCTAGCAGATACGAGCCAAGAGCTTATGAAATTTGAGCCAATCTAAAGTAATTTGACTGACCAGCTTTGGCCAACCGGGCACACAGACATGCCTTTATATCCACCTCCTTTTCTTTCATTTGATTAAATAAACTGGATTAGCCCTGCAGACTTTAATGTGCCACTTCTGTGTTGGTATAAGCTCAAAGAGTTTGAATAAGTAAGCAAACTGTCATTTCTTTACCATGACACTTTAGTGGGGAGACATGGAGAAGCAAAACATAAAAATGAAGTTTTTAAACTGCTCAACTCAAGACAATAGACACCTTTTGAATAGGAGTTATGACTTGTTATAAGAAATGTCAATTTCCTAAATATATTTAACCTTATATTTGTAATTTTGAGTCCTTTTTGTAGATTAACCTTTGTGTTTCTTACACATTTTGTCACTGAAAGTCAAAATACAGGAAAAGTAACGAACCTCAACCAGGAAGTGGTGAACACTGATGAAAAAATCGTTTTAAAACCGCCGTTTTTCAGTAAACAAATATAACCTGGACGAATTTGCATTGGCCAGGCGTGCATGTGTCACCAAATGGACAAAAACTATTTCATTTACACTCTCGGCTAAGAAACAGTTAATCCTGTTAGCTTGCTAATTTTACATCGCTGTTTTCATGCTAACGGTCTAACGGTTTAATTAAATTACCTGTTAAAAGGCTGAGAAACTCCCTCCTTCCCGCTGTAAATATGGGCTAATATCTCACTAACGACTTATCAGGATTCAACCTTCGCAATACACCTTGACAGGCCAAACAAATGTTGTGGACTTGATCCAAAAAGCTCGTGCTAATATCAACTTCCGGAAAAGATTATCACAATAATTCTATCTCCAAAACGCCAGAGAGCGGAACACAAAAAGTAGAAAGTCAGCAGTTTTACGTGTTTCTCCATGTTTTAAAAAGGAGTTTCATATGTAACCGTTCAATAATGTTAAACTTTGATGCTAAACAATGCATTTCTTCAAAGATTTCTAGATTCAATGCTTTTAATTTGGCACAGAATCCAAGTTCCGCATCGATTCAGACAAACTTTATGTAGCCGCGTTCATTTGATTGACAGTTTAAAGAGCCAATCAGCGCTTTTTAATGTTACATAGTGGTTGGAACTTTTTCAGTTGCTACACTTTTGAATAATAAATATAAGGAAAAATTAGGAATACATTTTAACTTATAAATGATAAATAAAAATAGATAGATAGATAGATAGATAGATAGATAGATAGATAGATAGATA